GAAAAAATACTAAAATAATGCTGGAAGAATGCTGAAACTAATGCAAAAACAATGCGCGGCAGAATCGGCCGCCTGAAAACATGCAAAAAACAAAGCTGGAAAGAATGCATCAATAATGCAACAAGTATGCGCGGCCGAATCGGCCGCCTGAAAGTATGCAAAAAGTATGCGAAAATAATGCGCGGGCCTGAAAGAAAGTAAACATAATGTAACAAGTATGCGCGGTCGAATCGGCTGCCTGAAAACATGCAGAAGTATGCTAAAAGTATGCTGAAAATAATGCAAGAAGAATGCGCGGCCGAATCGGCCGCCTGAACGGATGCGAAAAGAATGTGTTTTCCCGGCTGCTTCCCGGGCGCGCGCGCGAAGAGAAGCCGCCCACTGGGACTCTGGGGCCCTGGGGGGGGAAGGGCCCTCAGGCCCTGTGCCTTAAGCCTTAAGGCCCTCAGGATTCTAACAGAGCCCCCCAAAAGTGTCCTGCCTCATGCCTCCCTCCCCCCTCCCCCTCCCTACCTCCTGCCTCCCTGCCCTGCCCTGTTCCCCTACCCTGGCCTTGGCCCTACCCGCCCCCTCACACCTACAATAAGTGATAAGTGTGCGCTTATAATGATAATTACATATTTCACATATGTTGAATTGTGTGCGTGCGTGAGTTGAGAGGGCGGGCGGGAGTAAACGAATCGGCTTGCGGGCGGGTGGGCAGCTTGACCCGCGCCGCCCCCCGCCCCCCTGGGTCTGGGATGTCCCGCCCGCCAGGGCTGCCAAGGAAAGGCTCGCCAAAAGGGAGGGGGGAGGGAGGGGGGGTAGGTACAAAATATAGGCGCGCAAAAAATGTGAAAACCATCTGGCGAAATGCGTCGCGTCACACGGCGCGCAAAACAGGCGCAATTCAAATGTTTGATGGGCGCCTCCATGAAAAAGTGCACGCTACATAATTACGCCACCGAGGAACCCCACATACTTATATGCTGGCTGGAGTGATGATAGCTGAAGTGAAGTATGTGAGAATGACGTTGGTGGCCGTTGCCCCGCCGATACCGTTGGTGACGCCAACCAAAAGGAGAGGAGGGAGGAGAATGGACAGGAGAAGCGCCGCGCCCACCACGCTTTGCGAGCCCCAAACGGACGCCGACCGCACCCCCAAGGCCCCCTCTGTGGCGTCGAGAAAGCGCAACGCCTGCCACACCAGCGCACCCCCTCTGTGGCGTCGAGGAAGTGTCACGCCTGCCGCGCTTTGCGGGCCCGAAACGGATAGCGACCGCACCCCCAACCCTCCATTCGGCGTCGAGAAGTTGCCACACGTGCCGCGCTTTGCGAGCCCGACGCGGATAGCGACCGCACCCCCAGCGCACCCCCTGCGGCGCCGAGAAAGTGCCACGCCTGCCACGCTTTGCGACGGCCGAAACGGATAGGGAGACCACCCTCAACGCACCCCTAGTGGCATCGAGAATGTCCCACGCCTGCCACACGTTGCGAGGCCGAAACGGGTAGCGACCGCACCCCCAGCGCACCCCCTGTGGCGTCGAGGAAGTGTCACGCCTGCTACGCTCTGCGAGGGCGAAACGGATAGTCACCGCACCCAGCGCACCCCCTTATGGTGTCCAGCAAGTGCCACGCCTGCCACACGTTGCGGGCCCGAAACGGATTGCGGCGTCCAGAAAGTGCCACGCCTGCTTGGCTTTGCGACAGCGTCGTGGATAGCGGCCGCGCTGAGAGACCACCCCCTGCGCACCCTTATGGTGTCCAGAAAGTGCCACGCCTGCTAGGCGCTGCGACAGTGTCGTGGATAGCGGCCGCGCTGAGACACCCCCCCTGCGCACCCCCTTGTGGTGTCCAGGAAGTGCCACGCCTGCTAGGCTCTGCGACAGTGTCGTGGATAGCGGCCGCGCTGAGAGGCCACCCCCTGCGCACCCCCATATGGTGTCCAGAAAGTGCCACGTCTGCTAGGCTCTGCGACAATGTCGTGGATAGCGGCCGCATGGAGAGACCACCCCCTGCGCATTCCTTCGGGTGTCCAGAAAGTGCCACGCCTGCTGGGCTTTGCGGCAATGTCGTGGATAGCGGCCCGAATGGGGCGAGATGCGAACCCTTACGTTCTCAGTGTCCAGGAAAGTGCAAAGGTCTGCTAGGCCTCTGCGACAGTGTCGTGGATAGCGGCCGCGCTGAGAGACCACCCCCTGCGCACCCCCCATGGTGTCCAGAAAGTGCTACGCCTGCTAGGCTTTGCGACAGTGTCGTGGATAGCGGCTGCGCTGAGAGACCACCCCCTGCGCACCCCCTTACGGTGTCCAGAAAGTGCCACGCCTGCTAGGCTTTGCGACAGTGTCGTTGATAGCGGCCGCACTCAGAGACCACTTGCTGCGCACCCCCTATGGTGTCCAGAAAGTGCCACGCCTGCTAAGGCTTTGCGACAATGTCGTGGTAGGCGTCCGCGCTGAGAGACACGCCCCCATGCGCACCCCCTATGGTGTCCGAACGTGCCACGCCTGCTAGCCTTTGCGACAACGTCGTGGATAGCGGCCTCGCTCAGAGACCACCTGCTGCGCACCCCCTATGGTGTCAAGATGTGCTGTGCTGAGCTGTGCTGTGCTGTGCTGTGTTGAAATGAGATGTGCTGTGCTGTGCTGTGCTCAGCTGTGCTGCGCTGTGCTGAGCACAGCTGTGCTGTATACGTGCTATGTGTCAATGTGCTGTGTGCTGTGCCGTGCCGTGCCGAGCTGTGCTGTGCTGTGCTGTCCTGCGCTGCGCTGTGCTGCGCTGTGCGAGAGGGAGAAGGAGGAGGAGGGGCGAGGAGGAGGAGCCGCGTGCGACGCGGGAAGGAAGAAAACCATAACCCCACTAAGCATGTGGGGAAAAAGAGCGCGCAATCCATCGAAAGAATGCGCAATCGTTCGGGCGCGCGTTTTCGTTGTTTCATATGTATATAAATATATACTAGAACCATGGCGCGCTTCGCGCGCGCTCAGGTTCTAGCAGACACCAGGCCTTGACGAGTGCACTGCTCCTCTGGAGTAAGTGGACCACAGATGGTTTGAGCAAGAAGTAAATTGCCCACAACGCTGAACGCAGTATGGGCAAGTGAGAGTCCCCCCGCGTGTCCAATCCGCATTCTGGAAGGCTTTCGGTGGATGGCTGGGCGTAAAAAAAAAAAAACAAGAAAAAAAAAAAAAAAAAAAAAACAAAAAAAAAAAAAAAAAAAAAAAAAAAAAAAAAAAAAAAAAAAAAAAAAAAAAAAAAAAAAAAAAAAATAAAAAAAAAAAAAAAAAAAAAAAAAAAAAAAAAAAAAAAAAAAAAAAAGAAAAAAAAAAAAAAAAAAAGAAAAAAAAAAAAAAAAAACAAAAAAAAAAAAACAAAAAAAAAAAAAAAAAAAAACAAAAATATAATAAAAAAAAAAAAAAAAAAAAAAAAAAACAAAAAAAAAAAAAAAAAAAAAAAAAAAAAAAAAAAAAAAAAAAAAAAAACAAAAAAAATAAAAAAAAAAAAAAAAAAAAAAAAAAAAAAACCAAAAAAAAAAAAAAAAAAAAAAAAAAAAAAAAAAAAAAAAAGGGGGCGGAGGCCTGATTAACCGGCTTCCCAAAAGGCATTGCGGAACATGGGTTTTGGGGGCGGCTTGGGGAGCCTGCTGGGGCGTGCCGTCGTCGCCGTCGTCGTCGTCGCAATGTCGTCGTCGCCTCTTGGGGCGCGCCGTCGTCGTCGTCGTCCTCGTCGTCGTCGTCGTCGTCTTCGTCGTCGTCGTCGTCTTCGTCTTCGTCGTTTCGTCGTCTTCGTCGTCGTCGGTTCTAGAGGGCACTTGGGGTAACTTTGTGTGAAACGATCCGCGGAGGGCCGCGAGAAGGCGATCAATCATGCTCCCAATCAATTTCCCAGACAACTCTCCGGTAGCGTGATGGTACTTCGGAGCCTCCAGAGACTCTCGGGCCCATGATAAACCATGTCCCCAGAAAATTTTCTGGGAACATGATGTGTTGGGGTGTGTTGGGGGGCCTCTTTTGCGTTTTGGGGGACCCCTTGGGGTATCTTGGGGCTTCCTGGGGGCCTCTTGGCGGCCTCACGGGGCTTCGTGGGAGCCTCTTGGTGGCCTCCGGGGGCCTACTGGGGGCCTCTAGGGCCAGAGACCTCGAAATATCTGTTCGCGGTCCCCCTCTGGGCACCCTCTTGGGGCGCTGTTGGGGCACACTTGGGTCGTCTGGGGAGCCTCCTGGGCCGTCTTGGGCCCTCTTCGGGGCCTCGTGGGCCGTCTTGGAGCGATCTGAAGGGCCTCCGAGGCCGCATAAGTCACGCAGCACCCAGAAGCCGCAACAGCGACTCTCCCCCAAGGGGTTGGCGGGGCGGCGTAAGCCAAAACATCTTCCCGCGCTGTCCAAACGCCAATGCCAACATGGCGTTAGAACCCACGGGGAAAACACGAATCCATTCTATGCCAACTGCACCTGGGCATGCAGGGGGGGGGCAGCTCTTTGCTTCTCTATGCATTTTTTCTTCTCTTCTCTCCCCACCCCGCGCTCACAAGACGGCCAAGACAGGCAACCAAAGGCCGCCAAGATGGCCAACGACGCATCCGAAACGGCCCAAGATGGCTCCAAATCGGCCCAGGGTGGCCTCAAAACGGCCCACGACGCCCCCCCAAAATCCCAAGAGAGCCACACGAGAACCCCGAGTAAGGCCCGAAGAGGATAATGCGAAAGTCTTCGGCATCTTCACCTGGTCGGGCTCCCTTCTGCTCCAGATGGCCCTAAAGGTATCCACCACTATGGCCCCAAGACTGCCCCCAAATTGCCCAATAATCTTCCAAGACGGCCTCAAGGCAGCCCAAGAAAGCCCCTAACGGCCTTGGAGAGCCCATCGACAGGCCAAATACGGCCCATCGACGACCGCAAGAGAGTGGAGAGAGAGAGAGAGAGCGATGAGAAGAAGGAGAGCGATGACGAGGACGAGGAGAAAGAGAAAGATAATCGAGGAGGGATCCAACACAGACGAGACCGCCAACCGCGAGGCTGGGCCTTGTTGGCCTGCGCCTCGGCGTCGAGTGCCCGCAGCCTGGCCAGCAAACCCTGCCGATCCTGCTCGATCTCGCCGGCTCGCCTCGCGGCCCCGAGCAGCGCGAGGAGAACGGCCCAGGGCGGGACGGAGAGGTATCACGGACCGCTCCACGCCGTCGGAGAGCACGCCGAAGTGGGCGCGAACCCGCGACAGAGCACAGAGAGGAACAACCAAGTGTTCTGCTCCATGGCTTCCTGGTGCGTTATGAACCCGCAGCCGGCACACTTGTTCATGTGTGCGCCGTAGTGTCAGCCAGCGGTGTATGAAACTGGTGGTTATTCGTGGCGCCTATATCTGAGACGTGGTACTGGTGTAATGTGCGTGTGAAATCTGCTGGCTGTTCTTGAAGCGTGGTCCTTGTGTACTTATGCTGCAAGTGCAAGTTGCTGTGTTTGCTCCTAGCGCACTTGATTGGTGCATGGTATTTCCGTACGGTCTGTATGCCTGCGATGTGTGATTGCGCTAGCGGTGCATATCGTTGCGGATACGCATCTCGGTATTATTGGTATAGGCTGTTGATGCGTGGCCTTGATGTACGCCGTTGAAGTCGGTTGTTGATGTATGTCAATAGTGAACGTGTTTGAGATATGTTGTGGGCACCTGCGTTTCGTGAAGAGTATTGGGGTACGGTGCTGCTCCATGTTCTTGATGTCTGTTCTGCTCTCTGCTATAAACGTATTTGGACGGCGTCACGTCGAGACGCCTGGACGGCGTGACGCCTCCTTGGTGGGGCTCCGCGAGGCGGGATACTCAGGGACACTCGGGGATTATTTGGGCCTGGCGCCCTGGGCCTGGCGGCCGCGGTATGCATGGCTGGCGGAAACGGTTTTCTCAAAACCTTGCAGTCCGACCCTGTCGCGTGTGGGACGACATAATCATACAACCTTCGGAGGTGCGCGTGGAGTTTGTTGGATCGGCGATGGAGACCCCGCGAGTGGTGAGGGGAAGGAGGGTCCGACTCGGCGACCCAAGCGCGAGGACCTGCGTAAGTAAACATTCATTGCGACCCAAGGTGAGGAACACATTGTCTGTAAGGGTTCTACAGATTTTGCGAGAAGCTAATAGGTCGTTGCCGGATCCGGAATCGTTCGGGCGGCGTTGTCTCCCGCTGTCTTCATTTGCCTCCCGTCGCCTCCCGCTGTCTCCAATTATCTCCCATTACCTCCCGTTTTCTCCCAGTGCCTCCCGTGGCCTCCAATTGCCTCCCGTTGCATTCCGTTGCCTCCCGTGGCCTCCCGTAGCCGTCCAGTGCCGTCCCTACCCCATACCCCTATCCTAATCAATATCCCTACCCCCGTCCATATCCCTCTACCCCTACTCCTATCCCTCTATACCTCTATCCATCTCTACCCCTTTTTATCCCTCCCTATCCATATTATACATCCATGTCCACATCCCTATCCCCATACCTCCCCCCATCCCCATCCCCGTCCCGATCCCTATCCCTAACCCTCAATCCCTCTATCCCTAGCCCTGTATCCCTAACCGATCCCCTCTATCGTGCCCCCCCCAATCGTGGCCCTCTCTTTTTTGTTACTCGAGTGTAGCCCCTTAGCGCGCGCATCCCGACGCGCAGGGAAGGAAGAAAGAACGCACCCCTGAAAAGCAATGGGCGCGCGTGTGGCCTGAAATTGGAAAGCCTGTCGGGCCTGGAAGAATGCCCGAAAGTGGCGGTATGCCTGGCGCCAGCAAGAGACTGAAGGGGAGTGGAAAAACATAGAAAGGGTGAGAACTCAACCCACGGCGTTCGACGCTTGCGCTTACTGTTGCCGTCCGCTCGGTCGTTGGATTGACACATGATCTCGCAGACGACGAGCGGCCCGTGATGGGGAATACGGGAAGTCCAGGGACATCGTTGGAGACTCGCAGCCTTTCGCCCGAATATCGTCGCTGCCAGAAGAGAAAAAGCTACATGGTCTTTCATGAATTGCCGACTGCAGGGCGTGTACCAATGTGCAGTGTGATTGCCATTGGCCCTCGTGGCGGCCCTCGTCTACGTGCGGAGGGGGGAGGAAGCACAACGTTCAAAACTCGACCATGACTCCCCGAGGCCCCTGCGTGACCCTGGTGTGAAGGAAGGGGGGACATGGGGGACGGCGGGGCCCAAGACTGGTCTCGGCTGCCTCGTGGTCCTGTGGCATCTCGGGCCCCTCGTGTGTGGGATGAGGCTGAGTCATGGTTTTGGTGTCGTGGAATTCGTGTGCGAGGTGATGCTTAAGAAAAGATTCGCACCCTCCCGTTTCTCGTGGCCCCGTGGGGCCCCAGCCTGGGACGGGGTCCGAAAATCGAACCGTATACTGGCCCTTCATGTCCCATGCTCGCTCCCCATCAGCTTGCGAGCAACGATCAGATCCCATGGTGGTTGACCACACGGGGATTCATTTGACGGCTCGGTGGAAGAAAAGAGACCCACAACAACTCCATTCCAAAAAGAATGGCTGATACGGCAGACGAAGTCGAGGTGGAGGTCGAAGCCGGAACGCCACGACTCGTGAGATCGAAACTCGCCCTCCACAACCGCATCAGCATCCCCCTTCTCCGTCTCCTCATCCCCATGATCATCATATGTATACCTCAGTATCCCCCGCTGCACTCTGCTTACTGTCTCCTCTAATTGCTCGTCTTCCATTCACTCCATACTTCATGCGTATCATCGTGTTCCCTCTCCTCCTGCTCATCCGTTGCCTCTTCCTCCGCCTCATCCGTCCTCGTGTGTCCTCGTCCGTTTCATCCTTTTCATCCTTATCATAATCATAGCCAGCATCCGCACCCCTCCTCCGCCTCCGCACCTCCTCTTCTGCCGAAGTCTCCGCCCACCCAAAGGGAGAGGACACATTGTATATGGCAGGGGCCAATTTGGAGTATAGGGTTTTCTTGGAACTATTGTGGGAATGTCTGTGGGATGCCTCCGGGATCCGTAGTGGACAGTCTTGGGGGTCTCTTGTGGATTTGTTGGGGCTACTGGGGGCTGCTCGGGGGAGCTCTTGGGACGACTCGGGTCGTTCTGGCGCAGATTGGCTGGCCCTCTTGGGCCATATTGGCGCTCCCTGTGGCAGTCCTGGGCCTCTCCTGGGTCTCTCTGGAGGTGATCTTGAGTCTCGAAGCCGCGTGAAGGAGAACACGTGCAACGCCGAAGACATTGAACACGAAAGGTGTTCGGCTGATTTTGCCTACATGGGGCGTCTCTGCTGGCCTACGGAGCTTCATTGAACCTCTTCTGCGCTTCGTGGTAATTTCGGGAGCGTTACTATTCACACATCTGTACAGCCGGGGAGCCTGTGTCCAGAGCGCCCCAGGAGGGCCCAAGACGGCCCTAGAAGGCCCCAAGACGGTCCTGGAGGGCCCCAGGAGGCCTCAGGAGGGCCCGACGGGCGCCCCCAGACGGCCACGATGGGTCCAAGATGGCCCAAGATGGGCACTCGACGGCACAACGGGCTACCCAGATGGCCCAAGAGGCCCGAAGACACAACTCCCAAGAGGCCCACAAGAGGCACAAATTGTAGGTTTTCATTAGATTGCGGTACAATGTTCGTACACTCCCGAACGTCATCGAGTCGACGGGAAGTCCCTTTCCTTTGATCCTTCCCCCGCCAAGGGGGTGATCACATGGGGTAATCCCACGGGGGTCCCGGAGAGGTCCCAAGGGTGGAATCGGGGGTCGACCCTCCCCGGTTGGAACACCCCTCTCATAGAATTAGCCTGGCGAAGGACCCAACCATATGCAGCTGCGAGTACCGCACGGATATGAGACGAAGGAGGGGGCACGCAAACTAGGCCCCTCTTCTCATAGGCACCGCGCCACTGGGGCCTTCGGTGGAGCTCCCTATGGGGCCACGAAACGTGTGAAGGGTGTGCCGAAATGGGTGGTGGGGAGGCATGCGGACCCTGCACCCTGCCTTCGGTGGAGGCCTCGGTGGAGGGGCTCCCTATGCGGCCACGAAACGTGTGAGGGGTGTGCCGAAATGGGTGGTGGGGAGGCCGAACTGCCAGGGGCTTCGGTGGAGCTCCCTATGGGGCCACGAAACGTGTGAGGGGTGTGCCGAAATGGGTGGTGGGGACGGATACGAAACTGGGGCTCCTTCGGTGGAGCTCCCTATGGGGCCACGAAACGTGTGAGGGGTGGGCCGAAATGGGCGAGGGGCGGCATGCCAACTCTGCCACTGGGGCCTTCGGTGGAGCTCATTATGGGGCCACGAAACGTGTCAAGGGTGTGTCGACATGGGTGGCGCGGACGCATGCGAACCCTGCCACTGGGGCCGTCGGTGGAACTCCCAATGGGGCCACGAAACGTGTGAGGGGTGTGCAAAAGTGGGTGGGGGCGGCATGCGAACCCTGCCACGGGGGCCTTCGGTAGAGCACCCTATGGGGCCACGAAATGCGTGAGGGGTGTGCCAAAGTGGGGTGGGGGCGGCATGCGAACCCTGCCACTGGGGCCGTCGGTGGAGCTCCCTATGGCCACGAAACGTGTGAGGGGTGTGCAAGTGATGGGGACGGCATGCGAACCCTGCCACTGGGGCCGTCGGTGGAGCTCCTATGGGGCCACGAAACGTGTGAGGGTGTGCCAAAGTGAGATGGGGGCGGCATGCGAACCCTGCCACTGGGGCCTTCGGTGGAGCTCCCTATGAGGCCACGAAACGTGTGAGGGGTGTGCCAAAGTGGGGCGGGGGCGGCATGCGAACCCTGCCACTGGGGCCTTCGGTGGAGCTACCTATGGGGCCACGAAACGCGTGAGGGGTGTGCCAAAGTGAGGTGGGGGCGGCATGCGAACCCTGTCCACTGGGGCCTGCGGTGGGCCGGTGGAGCTACCTATGGGGCCACGAAACGCGTGAGGGGTGTGCCAAAGTGGGGTGGGGGCGGCATGCGAACCCTGCCACTGGGGCCGTCGGTGGAGCTCCTATGGGGCCACGAAACGTGTGAGGGGTGTGCCAAAGTGAGGGGGGGCGGCATGCGAACCTGCCACTGGGGCCTTCGGTGGAGCTACCTATGGGGCCACGAAACGCGTGAGGGGTGTGCCAAAGTGGGGCGGGGGCGGCATGCGAACC